AATAGCATTTCAGGTCTTTTGTTTCTGACCCAGACTAGGCAAAAGTCTGGTAACCTTTGGCATTAGACGAGAAACATGGCCACAGAGTGAGAAGTTATGTAAAAGAACAGTAGCCCCAGACACCGCATGCCTGAGTTGGCAGGACTCGATTAGATACGTTCCATCCATGATACGGCTCTTAGTCTCTCGAGGTCTTTGGACATCCAGAAAGTGGGTCATCTTTCAGAATATCTGCGTCACTGCGGGGACGATGCTAATAAATCAAAGACCAGCTGGGTTCGCTCTGCACTGTAACTAAATACTTACCTGCCTGACAGTACTATTAATCCCTTCATTCACTGTGCAGGGGAAGGCTGTGTTCTGCTTCTGATTACTTTCCCTTGTTACCAGGAGTTCGGAGTTTATATTGATTATATGGCTACACGCTAAACTTGTGCTTTGGAAAAGCAGAGTTGAGACCCCGCTTTGTTCCAAATCTCATGAATTTTACACTGAAACAATTATGTTTACAGGGAATTGGAACTGGAGTGAATTAGAATATGGAAGCAGTTATTTTAACAATAAAATCAATTTGCCTAAAGTATTCAGCAGTCAAAGCAAGAGATTGTTCTGGATTGGAGTCTTTGGATAATTCTGCTTTTGGCGTCAAGTGACAGAAAGCCAACTTAAATGCACTTGGACAGTAAGGACTCTCACTGGCTCATGTGTCTGGAATTCGAGACCCTGCAGGGTTCAGAGGTGTCCTAGCCAGGGTCTGGGTAACTCATTAAACCTGCTTGCCCCTCTCTCCGCCCCGACCAGGCAGCTGCATTCTCAGACCAGTTCCCTGTGGATGTAGGGTGTCTGCCAAGATCTAGTTGGGCCTGCTATTTTGTCATTAATTTTTTGAGGTGAGAGAGAGAGGAGATTCCTTTGGGTATCTCTGAATTAAGGGAAGAAAAAGATTTTTTCCAGAATGTTTTGTTCGTTGGCCCAAACTGAGCCACGGACTCATTTTCTCATCGGCTCAGACTGGGATACATGTCCAGTCAGAGGATAGTATTACCATTTCTAATTTGTCCAAATAAAGACTCATGTTTCTCATGGGCTTAGGTTGAATAACATGCCCATTTCTCATTGGCTCAATTGGGATACATGTCCAGTCAGAGGATAGTATTACCGTGAGATAATCGGGCCTTCCCATAACCAGATGCAAAGATTGCTCCACTGAGAACGTGGATTGATTGATTGATTTTGTGTGTGTGTATGTGTGTGTGTGTGTGTGTGTGTGTGTGTGTGTGTGTGTGTGTGTGCCTGTTAAAAGACCATTGGGTACATTGATATTTAATTTAAATTCATCACTTAGAAATATTATATCTTGTTACAAAAATAATTTATTTTTATTCTTGTAATGTATGTGAATAGGTATGCACATGTTTCTAAAGTCCCAAAGTCAAGCCTGGGTGTTGTTCCTCAGCAGCCATTCACCCCATTTTTTTTGAGACGGGGTTTTTCATTGCCCTGGAGCTCAAGCATAGGTCTCCCAACACTAAAGTCCCAAGCATACAGCACCACATCCAGATTTTCTATGCGGGTCCTGGGGAGTGGGGTTCATGTTCTCATGCTCACACGATGAAGACCTAGCTGGTTTTTTTTTTTTTTTTGGTTTTTCGAGACAGGGTTTCTCTATGTAGCTTTGCGCCTTTCCTGGAACTCATTTGGTAGCCCAGGCTGGCCTCGAACTCACAGAGATCCGCCTGCCTCTGCCTCCTAAGTGCTGGGATTAAAGGCGTGCGCGCAGCGGTTTACAGGAGTTTTGTATATTTGCCTACAGATCTGGGGGAGCTTCCATGGGGTGGGAAGGATGATGGAGAG